CATTCCTGGTTTTATATGTCAGGAAAAACCAAAAACAGAGCCACATACAGAATCCTCTGAAAATGACACTAAAAATTCATTAAATCAATTTAGATGGCTGAGGTGTGAAAAAATACATAGGTCCAATTCACTGAGTAAACTTGAGTGTTTGCCATTTAGGGTGTGTTAGAGTTGGTTCTTTCTCTACATGTAGAGTCATGTGTAATAAATAAACCAACTCTTACCAACCATGGTCTTGAATTCTTGCATGACCTAGCACATTTAGCACACTGATGACTTGGAAAAGTGGCACACAGGTCCAGGGAAGCATCTTAACGTGTGACTTCTATCTACTTACAAAGGTTTTAGGGAAGCAGTAACAACGTCTCTGAATAGAATTCTTGTTTCCTTGGTGTTCCCTCTTCTGAAAGACTTGATACTCTTGATGTGAGTGGTACTTCAGGATTCCTTGACCTGGAGAGCAGCCATCTGACGCCTGCCCAATGTGAGCAAGCGTCCTGAACATCGGCAGTGACACAGGTTAAGATGGGAGTTACTAGGGCTGGAGACGTGGCTCAGTGGTAGAGTGTTCGTCCAACACATTGAAAGCCCTGGCCTCCATCTTTGGTACCACAAAATGAAAACATTAGCAGATACTTACCTTGCTTAGTAACCTCCAGAGTCTTCTGTTTGTTTTTGAGACAGCATCCCACTCTGTAGCCCAGGCTGGCCTCGAATTCACAGTGCTCATCCTCTCTCAGCCTCCTGCAGAGTCTTAAGGAAACCTTTTGGGACCTTTGCCTTGACATAAATGCTTATGTAACATGTGACAATGTTTTTCCTTTCAGATGACTGTCAGATTAAAAAACGCTCATCTTCTCTAAACTCCAAGGTAATTACTACTTTATAATTGACAAATGTTGAAGAAACACTCATAAGATGGTTTGAAGATATTATTTGAAGTTACATGCCTTTAAATGTAAATCACAAAACTGATTTTGATTCACAAGCATGAATATACATGTGAGTTTGTTTATAGTTTGAGTTACACGTTTATACTTTCTGCTCTATTTCTATGTCAATCAAGGTGGCACATCAGCAGGAGGAAATCCAGAATAGCAGTCTTTTAAAAATATTTTATGTGTATGAGTGTCCTGCCTGCATGCAAGAGCACTCATGTCATGTACTGCCTGTGGAGTTCAGAAGGTGTCGGATCCTCTGGAACTGGGGTTACAGACAGTTGTTAGCTGCCCTGTGAGTGCTGGGATCTGAACCCAGGTCCTCTGCAAGAGCAGCCCATGCTCTTTACTGTAGAGCCATCTCTCTGGCCCCCGTAGGACCGACTGGCCGGAGCCTTTCAGCCCAGCCTCCTCTCTCTGACTCCCTGCCCTAGGCCCTCAGCATCCTTCCTACCCAGACAATGAGTCCTTTACCACAACTTCAAGTCACAAAGCAAGAAAAAAGATGAGTGATTCTCTTCTCTGCAAAAACAGGTCCTAGAAATCCAGGGCATTTCCCACTTCATTCTTGGAATGAGATAGGAAAATAGAACATCTTTTTCTGGATGCTTCCATGCCTCACGCAAAAAAAAAAAATCAAAGAGCTTGGGGCAGAAGATACAGCTCAGCAATTAAGAGCACTGTCTGCTCTTGCAGAGGACCCAGGTTCGGCTCCCAGCACCCACAGGCTGGCTAACAACCATCTGTAACTCCACTTCCAGGAGATCCTGACGCCCTCTTCTGACCTCTGGGGCATTGCACAACACAGGTGCACTTACATACATGCAGGCCATACACGTAAAAATAATAAAATACTAAAAGATCAAGGTGTGTATTGCTAAATAAGAAGGTAGAAGGGGAAGTGTGGACCAACCAGCAGCTTTTACCACAGCTTGAGAATCAGGATTCCCCAGACTTCCAAGGCTTTCGAGTGAGTGACTGTACACGTGTCCCTTCTGATGCTCTCTGCTGAGGAGTGATGGACACACACAGGGGATGGACATGGTAGAGTCAGAGCAGAGCCAGGTTTCTCAAAATTTAGTTTGATACCCTTGGGGCGCGCAGCTAACCTGTGACGTGAAAGAACGGGTAACGTTTTAAGAAAAGGATTCAAATCCAGTTCCTGTATCGGTGCTGGTTGGTTTTGTCAGTTTGACACCAACTAGAGACCTCCAGGAGGAAGGGGCCTTGACTGAGGAATTGTATCCATCTTAGTGGCCTGAGCATGTGGTCTATGAGGCATTTTCTGTGTTGATTTAGGAGAGCCCAGCCCACTGCGGGTGGTGCCACCCCCAGGCAGGTTGTCCTGAGTTGTATAACAAAGCAAGCTAAGGACCAGCCCAAGCCAGCAAGCTGTGTTCTCTGTGGTCTTTACTTCACTTCCTGCCCTGACCCCTCTGGGCATGTACTGTGACCTGGGAGTTGTAGGATAAAGTAAACCCCCCTCCCTAACTTGGTTTTCCTCAGAGTTTTATCACAGCAGTGGAAACTAAACTGGAATCTGTTACATTTCACATCACTGCTTTGAACAAACACTTAACAGGTCACTTACAGGTGGGAAAGTCGGTTCTGGCTGACAGGTGAAGGGCATGACAGCAGAACACGCAGCTGCTTGTTCACATCTGTGAGGATCAGAGGGCAGAAGGCGGGATGCAAGAGTGCAGCTGGCCTTCTCCCTCTTACTCATGCAATGTGCTTCCCAAATTCAAGACAGGTTTTACTCCCTCTGTTGATTCTATTCAGAAATCCCTTCAGTGACACACCCAAAGCTGGTCCTCACTAATGCCCTAGGTGCTTTTTAATACAATCAAGTTGAGGGTGGAACTTAATCATCATAATTCCTTTACTTTAATACATTGAAACTGTTTATGTCCATAGTGGTGATAGGGAAAAATTAACCTAATCTAGAACTAATGACACAAAGCTGGTCCTCACTAATGCCCTAGGTGCTTTTTAATACAATCAAGTTGACGGTGGAACTTAATCATCATAATTCCTTTACTTTAATACATTGAAACTGGTGGTGATAGGGAAAAATTAACCTAATCTAGAACTAATGACGTAATAGTGACACTTATTTAAACCACACAATACTGCATAGCACTTTCCTGTGCAGATCTCAAAGCTGATGAACACATCCCTTCATTAAAACGTAACATCTCATTTATACCCGGAGTCTAAAAATGTTGATCTCTCCCAGCACTGGGGAGTCTGAGGCAGGAGGACTGTCACAATTTGAGGCTGGCCTGAGCTACATAGTTTATCCATGGAATGGTGGTGAACCATCCCATGGGGATAGTGGACGGTAAGTGACAATAATACGATAAGGAGATGTTGGAGGAGATATAAACATCACACAGTATGAATGTGTACCACATCCTATTATAATGTTGGTATGCACACCATGTATTAGCTAAACCAAATATAGCAAAATGTCATGACTATTGAGTATATTGTTGGAAAAATGGCGGGAACAGCTATAGCTGTGGGTGCGTACTCACCTCCTCTTGAATTGGGGGATTTTTTTTAGGTATAAAAGCAAAGATAGCAAAAGAGAAAATGTTTGCTTGACTTACACAATTTTTTCTTCCACAGAAATGGGGGGTGGTGTGGAAATGATCTTGAGTGTAGACACACTGTGATTCGGCAGAAGTCAGATAAATGCAAACCCAACCCAACTTCGTATTCCCTGTCTCATCAGCAAAACGTAGCATACTCCAAGGTTGGAGGACATGGACTATAAATTAGTAAATGTTTCTCAAAGGCAGTCTGCCCATGCAGGGTCTTTGACAGCATGTCTGCAGGGGTCACATGATGGACAAGTCTGTCCAGGAACACGCACTGGTGTTTCTCGAGTCAGGTCCTCGGAAGCAGGGCCGGTGTCTGGACGGGTGCGGACGGGAATGGTTGGTGCGGCAGAGCGTGTATGATACTGAGGGTTCTCCAAGTGCATTTCTCTCTTTGGTAGCCATCTTCTCTTCGGAGAGTGACCATTGCCTCCTTACCCAGGAACCTTGGCAATGTAGCACTGGTAAGTGAGTGCATTCAGTGCTCAAAATTAAATTCATCTCTACATGATAAAGAAATAAACTTCCTTCAGCAAAGACTTATTTCTTGACCCTCCAAAGGTGTCCGGGATGGAAAACAGTGACAGATTCAGCAGGCAGTCAAGCAGCTGGTAAGTGTGACTTGGTGGCTGCCCTTTGGGAGCCTCATGACAAGCTGATGCTTGACTCAGGTAAGTGAGCATTTACACTAACTTCTGATTCGTTCAGAGTTTAAACAATGTGTGTATAAAAACTGGTGTGTAATCATGACATTCATACCAGGACGTTAGTCATTTGGCTGTGCAAAGGAAAAAATTTAGAAACCCATTCTGTATGGATTCAAGCAGGAATAAACTGGTACCAGCCAGGTGCACCTGACAGCTATTTCTTTGTGCAGGCGCATTCTGGGGACAAAGCAAAGTGACCACCGCCCCTCATTGCACCGCTTTATCAGCACCTACTCCTGGGCAGATGAGAAATGTGAACTAAAGTAGGTAAATCTTGATGCATTTACTGAACTGACAGGGACTGGGGTGTGAAGAATGGGGGCACTTAGTTCAGTGGAACTGACATTAACGTTGCATCATCAAAGAGACAATTCACGGTGAAAGACACTACGAACCACTTTATAAATGTCGTTTGTGAACACAGTGGCTGTAACATTCACTGCGGCAAAGCTTTAACTTCAGTAATTCTCTGGACTTTCCCAAAGGTCATTTAAAGAGCACAGAAGTAAACTCATGTGCATATATGTAACATAAGCCCATATATGAAACACATATGCATGTGTCTTACATAAAGGGGAGAGATGATGCTACTCGCTCTATTTAGCAAAGTTTTGTCTTTTTAAGACAGGTCTTCCTAATGATATTTCAACCTCTATGGGCATTGTAGGACACAGGTGCGTTTACACACATGCAGGCAACACTCGTAAAATAGAAATAATAAAGTATTTTAAAATAAAAAGGTACTCAGTGTCTTGGGAACTGGTAGAGCAGAGTATACTGGGCTACCAGTACCTGCTATAGCCCAGTCTGGCCTCAAACTAATAGCAATCCTCCAGGATTACAGTTGTCATCATCATGAATAGTTTATGTTTAACAAATGTAATGAAGTAAAATGTACCGCATGCTTCTACAGCATAGAAGGTGACAGAACACTGCCTCTGCTGAGCCCCCGGCTCCAGTCTATTTTCTCTCCTGATGAACAATGCCACATGTTCACTGGGTACCTACAGTGTGATGGAGACTGTGCTCAGGTCTAGGCACTCTGACAGAGGGAGGGTCCACATGAGTCTGCGTCACATACCACACCTCCGCATTTAGAGTTATTGCGTCACATACCACACCTCCGCATTTAGAGTTATTGTGATGGATCGTTTCTGAGCTAGGTGGGAAAAAAATATCGAGCACATCCTTCAAAAGATTGTTTACCTATGATACACTATCTGCTCACATCTTTACAAACCAAAGTCTGAAATACTGAGAAGCCCGTAGGCCCCTTTATTTTTTTTAAAGTAAACTAAATCTACCACATTTTTTTTTTACCCATAAATGTTTGAGACATTGTCCCCTTTGGCAATCCTGAGGGCATTATGAACTTGGGATTTCCAAATTCAAATCCAGCTAGGAGCATCTATAAAAATGAAACAAGTTTTATTCAGGTGGAGAAAACCCTCTTTAGGCAGTAACTTGATTAAAAACACACTCTCTTCAACCAGTTCCCAGAGCATTGAGTACTAGTTTAGTTTGATTAGCTTAATATTTAGAATATTTTCATAAACTTTTTAAACTAAGAAAGAGATGACATTGTGATTGTTTTCCAAGTTAGCACTGCATGAAAGTTCTTCAGACAGCCAGAAGCGGCAGAGCGTGCCTATAACCCTGAACCGAGGAGGCAGAGGATCACCAAAAGTTTGAGGCCACCCTAGGCTATACCAGGAGACTATCTGAAAACCAAGTTGTACAGAAAAAAACAATATAATCAATTGCTTAGCTACAAGGTTTAAAAACTGATAGCATTTTTTTCTCACTATTAAGTATTCTTCTAGCATTTTCAAGAAATATGGAATCCACATGTGCACAGTAAATGTTTCTGTAGACTACAGGAAGGAAATTATTTTAAACTTAAATTGCTATGGATCTGGTGATGTAACATTCAGATTTGTTACTCTGAGCACTTCGGGTTATACAGTCAACCTGAGTGATGCTTATAAACACTGCATATTGTTAGTTTCAAATTCTTGAAAACAATACTTTCTGCAGAACCAAAGATAAGTCAGAGCCACCAAGGGACGAGATGGTGGAGCACGTGAGGAAGCCCAGCCTTTCTGAGAAGAACAGCCCATCCCAGTGGGAGGCCTCCTCTGTGTAAGTGCTTGCCCATGACCTTGCTTTAGTGGGATGGGCATGACTAACAGATAGCAGTACTAGTGGAACTGCATTAAAGACATGTCAGATTGTTTAAGATGAGTAGTCAACTGCAGTAACAACCCCTCACCTATTGGACATGAGGCAGGAGCGTTTCCAGTGGTAGGACTTGACCCTGGAGCCAGTCTTAGCTCCGATCACAGCTCTCTGACCTGAACCAGGTCATCCGTTCCAGAACTTCTGTGCTTCATCAAGAACAAAGGCAGAGTACAGCTCATTCAGCTCTGTTTACTTCTGTACTGTTTGGGTTCTTTAAATTTTAGCACAGTAGGGGCACAGGGTTTAGTGAGAAACAATATTTACTTGGTAGATAGATTTACTTTGACTGAAAGAATGCGATGAATATTTGGCCTTGTCAGGAGTTAGTGGCTCACAGTACAGCACTCCTTTACTCCCCATAGCTGTAAACGGAGGGGTGCACTGGGACAGCTCAGCATTGCCCGCCCTGGTGTCGTGTTCTTGCTGCAGGTATGGCTTGGTGGCTTCCTGGGCTGCACCCCTGCAGGCGTCCTTCAGGGGGGCCAAGGCGCTCTGCCTCTCCGTGATCTTCATCGTGGTCTTTGCAGCACTCATGAGCTTCCTCACCGGCAGGTTCTTCCAGAAGTCTGTGGCGGCCGCTCCCACCCAGGAAGGGGATTCCTGGATGTCCCTAGAACATATCCTGTGGCCCTTTACCAGACTCCAGCACAATGGGCCCCCACCAGTGTGACTTGTAGGACTGTCTCAGATTCCTAGGTTAGTGAGTTTCTGGTTGCCCTTAGTCCTTTAGAGATTTTAATATTTTAATTCCCCACCTGGGGTATTTTAGTGAGCTGAGACAAAGCTTTATAGAAATTTATCTAAATAAAGAACTATTCAAATCTTCATACAGTGAAAGCTGAAAGTCTCAAAAAAAAAATCCTCTGAAACTTGAGTAACAGAGTGCTATTCGGTGATTTTAATAGCATATCTGAGCTAGTCACACTGAGAAATACCTGATGTCCGCCCAGTAGGCCATGGCAGCAGCTGAGGTCAGGAGTAAGTGAGGACCCTGGTAGACAGGAGCATGTGGCACACGGAGTCAATGAACTGGCAGTCAGCGTGCCTGACTCTGTCCATGGCCTCCACCGATGCAAAGTCTTTCACCATATGGTACAAGGTGGCGTGAAACTCCGTCTCATCCTTGAGGGCCTCAGAGAACACCTCGCTGTCCTCCCTTATCCTGAGCATCTGTGCTCGGTCACCGTTGAACATCAGAAGGGCCCAGGGACGGTTCTCGGGCTCTTTTGCCAAGTGCTCCTTCGCCTGAAAGAGCAGAGAGCTGCTAAGGGCTCGGCCCCCCAGGGGCAGGAGCAGTCTTTGTGATTTTGAGACAGGGTCTCACTAGATGTAGACCAGGCTGACCGTGAACTGCCTCCTGAGTGCTGGGATTTAAAGGTGGGCACCACCATGCCCAGCTAAAGGAACACTAAGTGTATATGTGGTTTTGCTCCCCTGTAAGTGCACCCATGCAGGTCAGAAGAGGGCACTAGGTCCCCTGGAACTAGAGGTAAGGACAGTTGCTAGCTGCTATGTGGGTGCTGGGAACTGAACCCAGGGCCTCTGCAAGAGCAGGCAGTGCTCTTAACTGCTGAGCATGTCTGCGGCCCCCAGTCTTAAAGCCTTACTTTTGGATTATTTTTAAGCTTTGAGGCATTTACATATTTGTATTTCCAGTGTATTCATATTCACATTCCATGTATTCGTTCGACAAACAACTGAGCTCTTACTGCGTGCCAGGTGCCATCGTAGATGCTGTGGGAACAGTGGAAAGACCCACCTGACTAGGTTACCTGCAACTGTAAACCCTCACAGGTTACACTCGGAGGATGCAGTGAGAAAAGCCAGCAGCCAGCCTAGAGCAGCATCAATCGGCCAAGGCTCGGCAGTGTAGCCCAGAGGTAGGGCATGTGCTATGTGGGAGGTTCTGGGTTTGATCCTCTGCTCAGAAATTCGGTCAACCTTTAGAATGTGAAAAAGGCACATCTTCTACCAGCCAATAGTATTCCAAAAGTTAACTGGGAGGCCTAGCCCTAAGGAGTCAGTGAATCATAGACAGTCACACACGTGTAATTTTTTCCCGTTTGAGCCCCGAGATTTGACAGAACAGACAACAAAGGCATCTTCCCACAGTTTAGGGAGAACGCATGGTCTGCCTTTGAGCACTGTACCTTCTGATAGACAAGGTCTTGGGGGTTTTGCATACTCTACCCTGAATATAACTCTGGTAGAATCGCAGTAGAAGTTCCACTTGCTCCAGCTGAACGCGTAGGCAGAGCTCAGCAGGGCCATCTGCCGATAGGCCTTCATCTCAACCAGCGGAACCTGCCAGGAGGCAGCACGGCAACCTTAGACACCCACAGCTCCCTTTCCTCTACGCCCCCCTGCAGTCTGTCCCAGCAGGAAGATTCATTTGAACACTGCAGTCTGACTCTGACCGCACTCTCAGTACACCCCAGTGGCCTTCCCTTTCTGAGCAGGCTAAAGCCTGGAAACCCCTCCCTCGGCTGATGCTGGCCTGCATCCTACGCACCCCAGTCTCCTCTCCGGGCTCAGTGCTAGGCTCCTTGGCCTGCTGCTTTGCAGGCTGCAGACCCGCAGGCCGCTCCCTCAGGGCCTCCCTGCAGCTGTCCTCTCTAAGGGCCGAACTGGAGCTTCCCCAGACCCCGCAGGCTGAAGTGCGGGGCTCCAGCACACTGCCCCTTACCCGGGGATCCAGCCCTTCTCGCAGGCTGAAGTGCGGGGCTCCAGCACACTGCCCCTTACCCGGGGATCCAGCCCTTCTCGCAGGCTGAAGTGCGGGGCTCCAGCACACTGCCCCTTACCCGGGGATCCAGCCCTTCTCCCCAGCACCCTGCCCCTCCTCATCTGCCTTTTCAACATGCAGGGTCCTCTCAGTGCTGTCTCCTTCTCTGCTAGAGTGAGCTCCCTGAGGGCAGAGACTATTCCCAACGTACAAGCAGGGCATGCAGCGCTGCTCACTGGAGTCCCCAGCCAGTAAAGCCCAGGAGCTTCTCACCTGTGCATTTGACTGACAGATGCTACATGAAGGCATACCTTGTGCAAAACACACGAGATGCGTCCTTCAGCACCCAGCCGGTCCTCTTGCCTACAACTACCCTTCATGGTTAGAATCACCTCCCCCACTTACCACAGATGTTCCCAAGCACCTGAATGCTAACCTACAGTTGCTAGAATAATGCACAGAGCCTGTCCTCCAGGAGCCCCAGATTCCCATGGAGGAGGGGCTGAGAAGTCACAGGACGTGGTTTTGTGTTGTTGGGCCTTGTGTGTGACTTGCTGTTAGTGACAAAGTGCAGACATACAACCAGGCGGAGAGTGGGTAAGAACACACCCAGGGGCAGCAGCCTGGGCTGCTCACAGTGACCGTGGGGTCAGACCCCTCACCAACACAGAGACCACACCTTAGCCTCATTCTTGACTACAGAACTTGGAGACCTAGGTTTCTGGTCTTTTCACTTTTTCCTTCCTTTCTAACCATAATCCTGACGATATGAAACATTTAGTTCTTAGCACCATTCTAGGGGCCACTACAGTAAATCTGGAAAGACTGGTTCTTGCCTTGTTGTTGATAACAACATAAAAATGAGAGTGTTTTGTGGGGAAGATATTCAGCCCGGCTTCTTTCAAAGCCAAAATGAAGGGAACAGGAGTCATCCATTTTCCTTCCAAGTGAGACCCATGTTCCTGGTCTCTCAGCTTGACTGACGCTAACATGCAGAGATTTCCCTAAATTGACAAGAGAAAAGAGACTTACCAAAAGGAAGTGATTCCGGACCTACCTTGTGCTCTTCATACTGTTAGGACCCTGTCACTCCACCTTCAGAGGGTAAAGGGCAAGTGTTAGGCCTGAGCAGAAAGCTCTACCACAGGGCGCCCAGCTCCTCAAGCAGCTTACTAATGCGAGGCTTCATCTGAGGGACTGGACTAAAGATGTGGCAGAGCTCCTATTTTGTAAATTGTGACCTAACAATCCTGTGTTCACCCTGAATTAAAATAGTCATACAACCAACCATGATTCCACACAGGGCTTTTTCTTCATTGTAACATATGCAAGATTTAACAGAACGATGTTGAACTGTCTGGTTTTAAAGTCTGGCAAAGTGGCAATTTGAAAGTAGAGAGCGTTCATATTAATCTTACTTAAACTAACGTATCTAAAATATTTCAAATCGAGTCACTATAAAAATGGAGTCGGCATTTTTTCCACACCAAGTGCTCAAACTCCAACACTTTCATAGTTACAGCACACAGCAATTTGGACTTGGTTTAGGAAATCAACAGTCACGTGCATTAGGTGACACAGATGTGCCTATAACATCTAACGTGAAAATACATACTCTGCAACCCTGCATGTCAGTAAATGAACAGTCCGCAGGTGTCTCTTCGCAGTAGACAGGGTCAGGCACAAGGTCTTTGAGGCCACTGGGATGGGGAGGGCTGGACGCCTGACAGGGAGGCCTGATTACCAACCCCCATCCAACCTCGGGAAGGTCACCGACCTAACAAATTGGGCCTGGGTTTCCCTCTCTACAAACTAAGGCTAAGCATCGACAATCCTGAGCTATCATCCAATAACCCACGTGGGTTTTAAAAGCAAAGTCTGATAATCTTTTAGTCTGTCACATTCATAAGATATTCCAGGCTCTTTTGAAAAACAATTTCATTTTTCATACCATAGAATCCATCAATTCCACATATATGATCCAGGGATTTTTAGAAACTTTGAAGGGGTCTATGTGAATCTGTTCTAGAAATCATCACCCTGCTTCAGGCCTATTTACAGTGAACCTTCCATTCCCTGCCTTCAGTTCCCACCAACCACGAGCCCACCTTTGTCTCTCTAACTTCCAGGGCTGTGTCGTTTTGGACTAAGGAGCAACAGTCTCATTCAGAGAGGATCTTGAGACAGGGAGGGCAATCACATTGGGGTGCAGCAGACACGGAGCTCCACATGCTAGCAGGCTCACTGGTCCACTAAGTGGCGCATCCCAGCAATTTCAGGGAACAAGTGTGAGCCTCACTACTTACACATTATTGCTTATGTATTCAATTGACTTCATTAAGAAACCATAGCTCAAGGGACATTTTACATGTAATCATGGAAGCCTTCTATTTAAGTGTATGCATCCACAGTGATTCTGGATGCACTAGGCGTGCTCTAACAGTAGCTCACCTGTTTTGGTGATTCTGGATGCACTAGGCGTGCTCTAACAGTAGCTCACCTGTTTTGGTGATTCTGGATGCACTAGGCGTGCTCTAACAGTAGCTCACCTTGATATGTATCTGTATCTCAGCAAATAGCGTAGTCACACTCAGAAGCACTTTATTCATACCCAGTGGTCTCAGTTCCCATGACTGGTACGGCATGTTAATATGGGTGTCTTGAATCAAGGTCACGGGGCCGAAAGTTTCCAGACCGAATGTTATGAGTCTTTCTTCTCGATTGTAAAATATGTTGCTGATGCCATCAGTTCGCCAGATTTTACCTTCACAACAGAAGACAGAGACGTTATTATCTTTTCCTATAAAAACTCGGATGAATGAAGCCTAAGTCCTTACAATGTGTACGCATTGATCTTCTGTATTAAGAACAGAATCTTGGGGCTGGAGAGATGGTTCCATGGCTAGGAGCACTGGCTGCTCTTGCAGAGGACCCACATGGTGGCTAGCAACTATCCGTAACTCCAGTTAGTTCCAGGAAATACGACACAGGTGCACTTACATATATGCAGGCAATACTCTCATACAAATAAAGCAAAAATAATAAAATATTAAAAAAAAATAGAATCTCAGGAAAAGCCACCTTTGCTGGGAGATCCCGTGTCTCCAGGACTCAGTCCAAACCCCAGCACTGTCTGCGTGACACTCAGGGGAGACTTGGCTCACTTCTCTGGCCCCACCCCTTGCTGTTTTGCACACCTGTTTTCAGCCCCACCTTCTTGCCTTCCCTCCCCCATGCTCCATACCCCAGATGCTGTACCCTGTGCCCATGTTCCTGTGCACAGGCCGCTTATTCTTCCTAGACTTTTAAACTTGTACAGAAACTCTTCTCACAATGTGATGTCATAAGTGTACTACCTTTAATTTTCATTTCCAATTTCAGCCCATCATTACTAGAATTCTCGTCTCTAAAGATTTTCCTTTGGGGACCTTACATGTAAATGGAATCAGATAACAGATGCTATTTTTGTCTCTTACAAGTCAATTATGAAAAATGAAGTTTAGAAGTGGGGAAAAAACACTGGGTGTGACAGCTTGCACTGTAATCCCAGCATTCAAGAGGTGGGAGAATCTTGAATTCGAGGCTAGCTCAGGCTAGACAGTCAGCTCAAAGCCAGCCTGGGCTACACAGAGACCCTGTCTCAATAAAAAAAAACCAAAAACATAGAAATTTGAAGAAATGTTTCACCAAACAGGATATATGAAAGGCGACATATGTAACAAGGTGTTCAGTGTTAATCATTAGGTATACAGAAATTAAAAGCACCTAAAAGCACCATGAGAAAACATTTCCCACACACCAGAAAGACAAATAATAACAAGTGTTGGTGAGGATGTAAGACTTGAACAGAACTCATAAAGCTGCAGCCATGGTGAGACCATTTGGCCTCTCTAAGTATATAGCTGTCACCTGGCCCAGCGATTCCACTCCTAGGTATGTTGTACTCAAGAAAATCAAAATCATGGCCACACAAAGACTTGCACACGTGCGTGTGTGCGTGCGCACACACACTCTCTCAAGACCCCATTGAATATTCCATCCTGTGAGAAGATGGAGCCCAGCTTTCCCAGGCTCTAAAGCATTTATGTCTAACTCCAGCACTCTAGTGCCTTCCCCTGATGCCTCACCACCTCTCAGAGGAGGAACCTAGGTCTTCACTGTCTCTCAGCCTGGTCACGGGGGTGAAGCCATGTCCTCTCCTCATGTGGCCCTTTCCTTCTCGCACATGGAGAGTTCTATTGACTAGTTCTTTTAAATTCACTATAACAAATACAATTATGTTACCAACGTATTTTCCCCCTCCCCTGCCTCCTCCCCCTCTTCCTTCTTGAGGAAAATTCTTGCTATGCACCCAGACTGACCTTGAACCTGTGATTCTTCTATCTCAGTCTCCCCAGTGCTCTGGTTTGCTGTCTGTTGCTGTGATAAACACCATGACCAAAGTTGTCCTCTGACACACATACCACCATCACCACCACCACCACCAAAATAAAGAATGTAAAATACAGACTTCTGGGCTGGGGGTATAGCTCAGTTGGCAGAGTACTTCCGCAGCATCCGCAGGCCCTCAGTTCCACCCCCAACACCATACAAAACTGTGTGAGCTGCACACCTGTAATCCCAGCACTTGGGAGGCTGAAGCAGAAGTTCAAGGTCAGCTACGCTTGGTGTGAGGACAGGCTGGGCTTCCCAGGCTGTCGCACACCACATACACTCTGCATGCTTTTTGCACAGATTTTTTTTCATTACATGATTACACGAGCTGGTTTCGGCTGTACCTTCATCATCCCACCTTATGACCTTAGGATCCTCAAAAAAGATGACATTCTCGTGGACCTCCAGTGTGACCTCTATGGGTGGAAAGGTGCTTTCTGGGTCAGGTTCTTCATGGGTCTCTGGAGGATACATAAACTTCTGTAATCCGTCTTTGAGTATCTTTTAAAAGTGACCGAAACAGCACCAAGTTAGAAGACACAGAGTTGTAAACATCGCTAGATAAAGCAGTGCATTCAATTTTAATAAGCACTTGTATTTGCTCCCTCCTATCTGTAGAGTGACTAGACAGCACCCAACAGGCCAGATAAACAGTGGAGGGAAAGGCAGTGCATGTAAACACAGCTTCCTGAGAACCCGGTTCTGTGAGGCCTCCTGCCACTTTGTTTCTCAAGACTGTGTATGATGAAGCCTGTCATTAACCGAGAAGAGTTTAACAAGGACATGAGGGAAATCAAGAGATTACAGAATGAGTTCAAGGAACGCAGAGGCCTCGGCATAGGCCCCAAGCCACCCGGTCCAGGGCTGAGAGGAGGGCGGTGAAGGCGGCATAAGCCGACAGAAGTTCCTGAGGTGCGCGGGTCTGTGCACCATGTGCCATGTACCGACACAGAAAGAGCAGGACGAGGACACGGGAGAGTGGACGGCAGACTCCCGAGGGTGTCTGTGTCCAGACAACTCCACCCGCGAGCTCCCCCAGCAGCCCCAAGGAAGGACTTCCCAGTCACCCCCGGAAGCCAGACTGAGGTAGATTCTCTGCAGTCTACAGCCCCCACTTTCTCCCCCAGACCTGCTCCAATCCAGTGCGTCCTGCTGCGAGGACTGGTGAGCAGAACGCCTTCTACGAAAACCTGTGCCTGTGTGACACACCCGGGTGCAAGGCGTCCCTGCGGAGCCGACATTTTATTGGAGAGGAGATTAAGAGAAAAAAGTCCGCAAAGACTCTGCAGTGTTGGTGCCCAAATGCAAGGCACAGAACTCGCAAAGCCGGATTTGACTGACACCGACTTGAAATCCGGCCAGTGCTGAGCGGGGTGCTGCTACGTGCCACAGTGCTGAGCGGGGTGCTGCTACGTGCCACAGTGCTGAGCGGGGTGCTGCTACGTGCCACAGTGCTGAGTGGGGTGCTGCTACGTGCCACAGTGCTGAGCGGGGTGCTGCTACGTGCCGGTTTGCCTAGTGTGCCGAGGATGCCGCTTCCTCCCCCGGCACAGGGGTGGGGGGAGGGACGAAGTAGCTGCCGGCTTCCTAACTTCTCCCCATAGCTTTCTTTTTCCGTTGGCGTCGGAGCTATTTATAGCTTCGAGCAGTTTATCCCGGGAAGGCTGCAGGTGGGGTCCCCAGCACAAACGAAAACACGCAAACTGCGTTAGAGGCCAACCTTGGCTTTATGGCGGAGCCCACACAGAAAACAGAACAGAGCTGGGGTAAGATTGAGAACAGCTGTAGACACACCAAAGGCCGGACTGTGGACGAGAAGAGGTCACGTGCTGAGCTGCGGG